TAGGCAGATTTTAGTGAAGATCGGATACCCCAACCAAGAATTTGACTATAGCAACACACTGATTCCCAAGAAAATAAGACAGAAGGTTCTTGTGTCACCACAACCCCACAATGTGCATCCTGTAAACAACGCTCGAATATACTAAATAACATTACTGAGCATAAGATAGACACAAGCTTCGTGGACATCTCCACGCACCATAACGGCTAGGCTTTTGCCCTTTCCTTCGTGGACTCACTGGGCCATGTCGTCAACTGCGCCTCGATTGGGACGACAGATGCCGAGGTGACTGAGCAAGTGGCCATCGCACTCGCCATGCAAGACGGTTGTAAACAGACAGGGTGTATAGCGACTAAACGGTGGCTGTTAGGGCATTTCAGAAAGACCGGGTAGGACGGAAGGTAGTTAAAATGCTGAAAGGCACCAAAAACAATCGCAGCACCACACACTTTGTCTTTTGGTTACCTGCCCACGTCGGGGCAATAGAGAGGGTTCCTTTTAAGTTCAATGAGTCGGCCCATGAGGTTGCGCATGGCTTTACCGACTGCGCTATCTCGGATCAGACGACTTTCTCCCCGGACACAGGCACGCACCTAGCACTCACAATGAAAGTACTAAATTTTAGGGGCGAAGCTCCTTAAGCCATGGATCGTGCGTCCGTGATGTATGTAGTAGTAGTAGTAGTAGTGGTAGTAGTAGTATTAGGTAGCCACCTCCCGCGCACTCATTTGGATTGAGGAGGAAACCCGCGCACGTTAATGATAAATAAAAAAAGTGTTTCTGATGAAATACCCTACAGAGGTGAGTAACAGTGACTTAACTTATCATAAAACTTGCCTTGGGGTTGATGCTTACTAAAAAATCACAGCATATCCACAAAATGAATGATGATGAGTAGCGTGAAGCGTCTGTAAATCCGTCCGTGCTTCTGTCCTTGCATTCTTCCATCCGTACGTGTGCCTATTCGTCCGTCCGTGCGTACGTCAGTCCATCTGTAAGTGCTCCCGTTCATGCGTCCGTCCGTGCGTCTGTCTGTGCGTGTGTCCATCCGTTCGTCCGTCCCTCCATGTGTTTGTCTGTATGTCCGTCTGATTGCCTGTCTATCCGTCCATGCGTCCGTCCGTCCATATCATGAACACTTCAAGTACCGCCATCTCGCTTCTTTTTATCATATATTCATCATACACAAGTATCACCATCCAGCGGAGAATCCAAGCAATAAACTAGAGTATGCACCACATTTCTGCTGTCAGTGCTTTATTATTACCGAGAGCCTATAAGGACGCCATGCTACATTTTTAGTAACGTGTGGTCATGCGGATATATGCTTGAAAGCGCGTATGTACCTTTGAAAGGCTACCGACTACTACTACAACTACACAGTTCAGAGGATGTACAGACGCCTTAAGGAGCTTCGTACCAAAGGCGTCGGGAAGTGTCATGCTCATTTATTGTTTTTTAAACCAAAATGCCTCTCCTGCAGCTCTTTCCGACGCACCATGTTACAAATATTCACATCATTTTTTCTTCTCAAAGCTTCTTCCCAGCGTAAGCACATCCCGAAGATTGCCAATTAGGTAAGTCTTCTTGTAAGTGATGCGGCTCTGTTCCGTTAGCAGAGGGCGCCAAGTTTTGCTTTCACAGTGAACCTGTGTCAGTATTTTGTTTTAAGATTTAGCGATATCCGCAGCCTTCATTTCAACCAGTAGAAAGAGAATCAAGCATACATTTCGAGGCACAAGTTTTATCATAAAAAGTGACAAGAAGAAATTGGTAAAACAATTTAAGTACGTAATAACTGATTACTACGATGAAAGCCGCCGCGGTGCCTACGACACCGGGTGGCCGGTAATGAACCTGTCACCGCCATGTGCTCGCAAAATACGTGAGGACGAAACTCTATGCGCAAGAAAAGCCTGCGTGGAGGAAGGCCTAAAAGAATACTGTTCGCGCGAGAGTCCAGAGCTTTGTCCTGTTCGTAAATTATATCCGCACGCTATGTTGTCTGAAGCCTCACTGAGCAAATATTGATGTCTGTTTCGGATGGTTGCCCCTTTATCTAGCATTTCCTGATTTGCCGTTTATTCAAGGTACTAAGGAGTGATGGCGGGCCATACTAAGCGATAGCCAAGAAATGATCGGAGTAACTTGTCTTTCACTATGCTAGGGGCATTCACGGCGCACCTGGTTCATGTTGGCTATGTGTTTTTGACAGAGAAAGATTCATTCGGACACTTATACATAGGCTCTCTGTTTGTACTACACTCTACAATAAAAATTCATTTGCAGGTATGCATCTGCATACCCAAATATGATTAAGCACTCATGCAGTGTAAACTTAAGTGATAGTTGTATTATTGAGGCTGATAGAACGAAGGAGCTTCTGCTGCACGATATTATGACGTCGAGCAACTGCTAAAGTGAATTGAAGTGAATCATAAAAACTCCATCCTCTTTTCCTTGACGATGTTCATAAGGTTTTGATGTTCACTTCAAAAGTTTTGTCTGTACCGCAGCGCTTCATACTCAAGAAGTGGTAAGAAGCATGTTAAATTGGACACTTGACTAGTCAGCGTGCACTAGAAACTATTCTATGAAATATTCAGTTCATTATTCTGCAATCTTTATCTATTAGCAACTTCCCTTTAAACTCGAGCTTTGCGATTTCCTGATATTTTTATTTTCTGGCCCAAAATTATGCTTAATGTTTTTAACAACGATCAGCTAATAAGTGAGGCTTATAACAAGGGCGCTATAAAACAGACACTTTCACAGCACACTACTCTATGATTAGAAATTACTAGTAGGCCGTTTGATTCCCTAAGACTTATATGAATAAATATTTGCTTGTAAAACACGTTGCACAATATTGCAAAAATTGTAAGGGTGCAGCGGATGAGTGTATCCAATTTTACCTGTATGGCGTCTTTGTACATCTTGTTTATTCATAGGAATATCCAATGCATAAATACAATGACCAATGCAAATCACAGATTTAGAAGAGTCTGTTTGTCAGTTTAGAGTACAGCTATAATTTTTCAACCATTAAGATATTGATCTGGGCTAATGGGGCAGGGACCAGTTCCGGAAGCAGACAAAAGAGTCTTTTATAAAAGGCATGGAGGAGCCAGGAAAACTTCGACAGAATCTTTTAGAGGCCTAAGCACTACCAAAATTTGGTGAAGCACAAGAAAAGGGCGTCTCTTGCAAATAAATCGGTTTGGAAGAAAACAGCTCAAATATATACGCCACATGGCTCCTTGCAATGAAGAATCCGCTGAATGTTATCTCCAAGAAACCAATGTAAAAAATGATGAGCTCAGACATCCGGGTTACGGAGGCCTGTACAGCAATACCCGATGCACTGTGACGGCGTGTGAATATTTCCAGTGAACAGACACCATGCATGCGCAAAATGCTTCACAATGGTCATTGTACGTACGATCCGATGTTCGTTTTCCAGTGATTGACGTGAGTGACCTCTGCGGACCTCGCCACCCGTTTATAGTCGTTTTCTTTTTAACTTTTAATTTTTTGTGCACACTTGTCTAAGTCTTCAAACATTTTCTCTTTACTTCACTCTCTTCTTTCCTCTTTCTCACCTCTTATCTTTGTTTTTTCTGTGTCTTCTCCCGAAAAAGTAAACAGGCGTTGTGCCCGTCCGAGTGGCAGTTGCCATTTTGCTCTCTCTCTGTTTCATCTTTGCCCCTGTGTTTCCGTGTATGCAAAAAAAATAAATAAATGCGCAAACACTACTGCCTCAACTAGTTGCAAGGCGTCAGACACGCGGGCGATCGTTTTTGGTCCAGCAAAAAAGTTCTAAATTTCGAACTCAGACGGGCGCATAACCACAGACGTCACACCTATACCCAAGTAACTGTTTCTTCTTATCCAAAAAAAAAAACTTTCTATATTTCGGAGGCAGGAGCAAGTGAGCTTTCGGCAAGATTAAAAACACTAAGAAAGATTGCCTCACACGAGCAATGATTACAATGTGCATGAAAATTTACCGATAAATTGTTTTGCATTGAAAGTTCATGCTCCCTTACAGTGAAGTTCCCGAACCCTGCCTGACACAAACACGACTGTTTTGAGTAGCATTTCCTACTCCACACCAGCCTGCCGATCTACTTATGACGAAGCGTGTTCGTTTTTACACAGGGAGAGCCATGGTTGTTTAGAAATGGGTGAACACAGGCCTGCCAGCTTGCGCGAAGCAGAAACGCCACAGGCACGTTGCGTCAGCTAGCCACGTTCTTGAGATTGTGGACCACCTTAAACACGAGGTAAAACCAGAGGTGCTCTTACCATAAACTGCTTGCTTTACTTTGTGCCATTAGGCCTTTAAGAGAGGATTTCAGAACCAGATACTACGTAAGAGTTAGGAGAGGTTGCTGAATCTGCCTGCTCAACGTGAATAATTAAAATACCCTTCAGCGGCCCTTGAAGGCGGCTGGTTCACTGCAGAATGGCAAACGCAAAGAAGCATTTGACACGAAAATACCGTAAATAGCGCAGCTGTTCTAACCTGCCGCTACGCATTTATCAAGAAGGCTGCATCAGTTCTTCAACTTGAGACACTGACAATGATTCAGCGTTTCTTTTATTCTATTGTTTTTAAAAAGAGCAAAATGTACGGGAAATTTGAGGTATTTCTGAATCATGGTTTGTGGAATTGTATCGTCATATCACTTCTGAAATAACAGCAGTTTAACTCACAGAAACTGGTATGAAAATCACTCACAACAACGTTCACAGATAGACCAACACTTTCGACAGACTGTGCTTTAACACTGACGCATTAACTTTGAATATTAGGATGAGTTTTGTGTGAGGAGGCATTTGACTTTATGCTAGTTCAACATCAAACCGTAAGGCTATTTTTTTTTGCAATAGCAACCATGATCGGTTGAATTTCTTTTTCTGTACTGGATGAGTATCCTTCCATTTACCGAGATGGTACCGCTAGACGTGTTGAAAATTTAAAGAGTAAAACTTACCACCATAGACCACGCACACCAATGCCAGCGTGCTGCCTTCGTTGAAAGGACCGATGGTGCCTCGGAGTTCATTTCCTTCACCGTCTCGTATTGCTGGAGGCTCGGGTGGAGCTGTGTAAATACAAGAACGCATTCAAACACGAGTCTAAGTATTACCAAATGACTCTCAGCTGCAGCCGAAGGATATTGAGGCGATCGCTATCGTTTCGGTACACAGGACAATCACTGAAAAATTCCTGCAGCTCTCTACAGATTCGACCAGCCAGAAGCACAGCGCAGTGTTTTCCTAAGAATGGGGAGGGGGACGAAGCGGGCTCTCAGTGTGTCTCTTTTCTATTAAACCAATGTATGGAGAGCGGACTTTGTTTCCCCTCTTAGGTGACTAGCTTAGGAAGTAGGCCTACACCCTCCCTCCCTCCCCTCACACACATGTACACGTTTAGGCAAGCAGCATTGAAATATTGCTTCATTTTCTCACCAGTTGATTTACCAGTGCTACCCAAGCAGGCTTAAAAATGCTGGAGTGGAAATAATTGGCCAGAAGTCAGAGCCGTGGCAAGATGGCGGCTGCAGCGGCCATCTTACTAGGGGCATGATAAAGCTATTAAGACAGGGAAGTTTATTTCAAACTTGTAACAACACTTCAAGTGAGTACAGCTGTCTGGTGTAACAAAACCACTTCAGTGGCGCGTACAAACAAGAAAACATAGTCACGATGTAATACACAGCACTTCAATATTCTTACAGATTACGAATCACTCAAGGAAACAAGGAGAAAAGGAAACACAAAAAGCACGAAGTTGGAACAGAATCACATATTATGTCCGACGAGATGCAAGATTAAGACAGGGAAGTTTATTGCAAACTGGTAACAACAATTCAGGTTAGTACGACTGTCTGGTGTAACAAAATCACTTCTGTGGCGTGTACAAACAAGAGAACATCGACACGATGTAACGCACAGCACTTCAATATTCTCACAGAACACGAATCACTAAGAAAACAAAGAGAAAATGGAACGCAAAAAGCACTAAGTTTGAACATAATCACATAATATATGTGCGACGAGAAGGAATATTTTTTTTCGGTGAATTGAAACGGCAGTAAAAGAAATAACTATTCTCATTCCGAAATCAAAAAAAAACAAACTTGTATGCCACCTTCTGATGAAGGCTTCTTCACCCTGCGTTTTAATCTGTTCGGTAAGGTACCGAACCATGATCATTCTAATCTTCTGTAACGCTGGGTATGTAGCTCGTTGGGGTCATCGGCATACTTCGGCTATACAGCGCCGACGCCACAAGACGAACATCGTGACGTAAAGTAGTTGTTCGAATAAGCCCCTTCTGCGCTATCCACCCGAAGGCACTGACATTCCGAACTGACGACGCACGACGTGCCAAACGCCTTTACCCACTACGAATTCAAACATCGTATGGCGGATCGTTTCTATTTTGCCACAGTTGGGGCAGTGGTCATTGGGAACGACATCCCACTTTGATAGTCTCTGACGAGTGCGCAACGCGTCGCACCGCCAGCAGCCAATCAAATTCTCTAACTACTTCCGGTACATGGTTGTTCCGCCATTTCTTCCACTTGCTGGGCCTCCATCTGTGTTGTTCCTCGTCAGTAATCAAGCCACCAATCAACATTTCGCCAATGCGTGCGGGTGCAAGCTTTGCAAAGTATTCTTCGGCGGCATCACCGTCGACCGAATGCTTGAGGCCCTCTGCTGCTTTATAAAAATCATGCGGGTGTTCTGTTTGAGGCCCCCGGTACCTTTTCGACGTGAATGCGGCTCAAAGAGATCCGGTCCAATATAGCAATAAGCTACGGCCAGGATAGTCACTGTCCTGAAACAATATTTGAACCGTTTTAGCTGTAAGTGCCTTTGTGAATGTCGCAACATCTGGCAGACTAAGTCCTCCACACCTTTTTGAGAGCTTCAGGGACTTTTGTTGAACTTTTGGTGTTTTCCCGTTTCATGGAAGGCTCCAACCAACGACGCAAGGCGGCTCGCAAGAACGTTTGGGTATGAGTGCAATGTGCCTGATATAAAAAGCATATGCGCATGCTTTGGTTTTCACCACCATCAAGTGACAAATTGAAGTCAGCGGCATACGCGAAGACCTGCGTGGCTCTATGTACGGCATGCTCCCAATTTGTTTTGGCCACCTCCCCGTCTTGAAAGTATACCCCGAGGACTTTTACGGCATCCACGTTTTGAATACCACCCGGCAAAGAGCCGTGGAAGCCACCGAAACGAAGGGCTTTGCTTTTCTCCGCATTCAGGAAAGCACCCGATAAACTGGCATACTCTTCAAACAACTCTAAGAAAGCGCGGTAACTGGCTTGATTTTGCACGAACACAGAGATGTCATCAGCATAAGCGGTGATGCTGACTGACCCCAGATCTGTCATTGGAAAGCCCTGAATATTAGGGCACTTTGCCACTTTCCTAAGAAGAGGATTTATGGAAAGAACAAAAAGCAACGGTGCGATTTAGCATACATGGCGAAAACCTCTTGTCACTGGAAATCTTGTTTCCAAGCCATTGATGAGAAGTCGGCTGGTCATATTGGTGTATAGAACCTCTATACAGTGGACGTATTTTTTCGGGTCACATAGTGCTCCAAGTGCGTCATGGTGTTACTAGTTCTCCTTAGTAAGCCTCTGATTGGAGGAAAAGTTCATTGGAGATTGAGTCTCCCATAGTCATTTCTGTGTGTTATTTCGTCGGGAACAACTATCTTTTAATATAGAAGTAACGTAGCATTTACATTAACTTATTAAAGCCACTTGATCTCTGAGTAGGTTCTACCAGAAAAGAATATGCTTCCGCCGTCTTGGCAATGGCAAAAGCTGGGTTCACAGCTGCCCGCAACACAGTGATGTATGTTTTGGAGGACCAAATAAAAGTTTATCCAATCTAATCAGCTGGCAAGGAATTGCGGGAGTTTCTACTCCAGCAATTTTTCTTTAAACATCCTTGGTGCTGCCCGGTGGTTGAGTATATGACAGTCACCTAAGGTCCTGTGTCTGAGTAGCTCAAATGGGCAAATAAAAAAACGATATTTTGCCTCTTGGTAAAGAAGTGTGAGACTGGAAAACAAGAAAGTTAGCAGCATAAAACGAAACGTAACAGATTCTACGTTAATAAAATATTCAGAGAAAAGTACCATGGAAGGTTGTAAGTAAATCAAGTAGTTAGAAAAAAACTAACATGGATTGTCTTACCATCACGACGTTTAGGTATTAATATGCAGCGATTCCTTTTGTTTGTTCAGCGAATGACGTTATCGCATTTAGTTTCAATTCGTTACGGCTTGGTCAGTTCACAAGACACAATATTATTCTACACCTAATACAAGGTTGAAACGCCCTTCTTGATTTAATGAAGTGGAAGGAAAAGGATGAATAAAAAAATAACAGAGAGAAAACAATGCTCTGACCTCAAAAATTGAGATACGTGAAATGAGATATACTTCCGTGAGATACAACAGGCGATAAAATGGGAGGAAAATCAGTAAATTTCAAAATTTTTCATATACTCTTGGGATATACTTAACGCAACTCTAAATGTGTGCATGCTTATCCGGAAGTTTTAATAGATACAATAGGCGTGTCATATTAGTTCATGGATTCATAGCAATGAGTATTGATAAAGAACTGGCTTGAAACTTCACTAGGTAGCTCGAAAATGGCTTACGCTTAGACAGCCTGTGCAATTAGGCTGTATAGCGGCAATTTTGATTGCACATGTATGTTTCTTAGTATGTGAAGCCTACTGTTACCTTTCGAATTCCGGTCATCGGAAAATTCTTCACTTCGCTTCTTTCAGAATATTTTGTGGTAAGCACGCTTCATTGGTCACCAATACTATAGTCCTAGCGCTAGTACATTGCGCATTGCAAAATTGAAGGAGAGAACAAAACAGCATGCATTGTATTCATCATTATAACAGATACACGGCGCTTCTTCCGCGGCGCATGAACCCTGTGTCTTTTAGGAGAACCACTAAGGTAATATAGCGACGCTTTATCACCTGGATGCCTTGCGGGCAAAATTGTTTACTTGCTGGTATTACAAAACGCACCACTTCCTAATGAATGGACGACATTTTCTTTTTTTTATTGCTACTTAGCTTTTTTTGTGGTCCAACATTGTTGACTTATAGAGGTACCTATTTCTTCCTTGTTTTACTTTATTTTCAAGTTAGTAGCACCATCGGTAAAATGCTAACTGTAAACCATGATTGCTTTCAATGAAGTACGTCGGTTACCGCAGCATGATAGTTACGGCTATATGTTGGTATAAGCACGGCACCCACGCTCACTCAAAATTTATAGAAAAGTAACTGTAAAATTAAGAACCAGTAAATAACGTGAGGCATCCCGTTACGATTAACCATGATGCATGCAAATAACCAACTCCTGCTGTCCCCCTCCCTCTTCCTGCCTCTATTACGCATTACCGCCCTTCGTAATGGTCTTTGTATCGATTGTACATGCAGGGCAGGTTGTTGCGCCGTAGTATTACCTCTCATGCCGACGTAATCGCCACAGCCGGCATTGTGTGGGGCTAATTAGGCACTTCCGGGTTCTTTTTTCCGGTGCACATGCGAAATGCGTTTGCCTTTGAGTGAGCCACGTGCGAAGAAGTGCACGGTGTCATGTCTGCTGTAATAGCCAATTATGTGCAAACAAAGGATGTTAAAGCAGAACATCTATAAAACTGAACAAAATGTTCATATAGTTAAGCGATGGGAGGCACAGCTTGCACTTGCATTTTCAGCAAGAACAAGACCTTTTTGCCTATGCACACATTTTTTTTTCACTCGTGCTGAGCAACGTTTCCAGAGAGGTTTTCATCATAACAGCAACATAACCATGCGTACTCGTGCTGAGCAACGCAATAATACATCGGTATTTTGAAACTTGATGCCTTTCAATAAAGCAGTTGAACTTAATCTAAATTTTGTGCATTCTATTACCTGTGTATACATATTTCTGGTCATTGCTCCCACCTCTGCGTTATATTTGGTTAAACATTGGCGTATAAAATATTGTGCTACAAATTATGCGAGAAAGAGGGATGGAGATTGCAAGGCAAAAAAACAGAGAGATTAGGTGGGTGTGCGTATCCGTTGATACCGCAAGCTCGGCATTGGAAAATTTGGGACGATCATGTAAGAAAACAAAAGACAAAGAAAAATAAAGGTGTTCGAAATGGACACACTTGACAAAAAACAGCTTTAAAACTATTGCTGTTCAGTTAGACCGGACTGAAATTCTAGATAATTATCAGAACTGGCACTCATGTTCTTAACACATGAAGACACGTGTCATTCATACGCTAATGATAGATGCATAAAGTTTTCAAAGTGTGGTATCAGGTAATCTCTCAGCTGATGCGCAATACTAAATAGTAATGTTCTTGCGAGTTTCTTGACGCCAAGTATATGGCTCTAAATCACTTTCACACGTAGTGCCTACATCAGAATGTGACTTATACTGCCGGTGTTGATGCCATGCCAGTGTCACCTGCAGCTCAATGCCATATCGGCTGAGCAACTGTGGCTAGTATTCCTTGATACTACGCTCATAAACGGGAGAACACGCATGATATTTTTATAAAAAAGCGTGAAAGCAATCATTCCACGACTCAGGAGTCGTAGTGTGAAGAACACCCTCATGCATTTAGATAAGGCTTTTTGAAAGCGACGCCTTTGGCTCCTAATTGGCGCGTCGTCCACACAGCAAAGTTGAGGGCACACTATACGTCCTATTGGCATGGATTCACGGCCGAAGCGCGCCACGAGTTGGTCTGTCGGGAATCGTGATGGAAGTCGTGCTGCAGGAGGTTTTCTTCGTACTTCCCGGTTTTGTAGTCTTCTCTTTTTTTTATTAAGAAGCAGATAAAACCGCAAAAAAGATGGGCACCACAAACACGTTTTTGTTGTGGGCGCGCAACTTCACACGCATCAGAAGAAAATGTGTGTTTCTAAAGTTACCGCAGCTTAAAGGCTCACGTCGTACTTTATGTTAAATAACGGGCACTCGCTCTGGTACACGCCACTCCTTTTTTAGTGGATAATAACTTCCTGCAGGTAGTCTAACTATGAATAACGTGTACTGTAGCATGTCTAGTCGCTTCTTGAATGAAGAAAGCTCTTAGTTTGCTTGATTTCCTTTGTTTCAGCCATTCATAAAGACTACCGAGTGTGTTTGAATTCTTGTTTGATCATCAGGAACACGTACGAGTCAGTAAAAAGAAATATTGTACAAAATATTTACACCTACTTTGTGTCAAACTCAGATTTGGTCACCGCAGTGGCATAGTGATTGTGGTGCTTTGCTGCTGGTTTTTAAGTCGCAGGTTAGATGCAGACATTTCCGAAGGCGAAACGCTAACTTCCCGTGTGCTTAACTTTATCTGCACGTTAAATAACTCTAGGTTATCATTATTTTTGGGGTCTTTCATTAGGACGTGTTTGATAATTTTATGCTGGTGAAGGAATGAAACTTGGTTGTGCGATGTAGCGTTATTTGCATGGCTATTAGCTGGTTGATAATAATTTTGCTCTACAAGCAATCGATTATTAAAATTAATAACTTCACCACATGCTTTGTTCTGTGCTCCGGGTGTTCATGCAGAATTTTCTTTTTCTTATGATATGTTAGGTTTAACGTCTCAAAACCACCATATGATTATGAGAGACTCCGTAGTGGAGGGCTCCAGAAATTTCAACCACTTGGGGTTCTTCAATGTGCACCCAAATCCGAGCGCACGGGCGTATACAATATTTCCGCCTCCATCGGAAATGCAGCCGCCGCAGCCGAGATTCGATCCCGCGACTTGCCGGTCAGCAGCCGAGTTCCTTAGCCACTAGACCACCACGGCGGGGTATTTGTTTTTTTTCTTATCCACTCCTCAGTTGTGTTCGTATCAGCAATGGATTGGAACTTCTACGGAACGTTGAACAAGATCATTGAGGGAGAAGTGGTACCTATACAGGCGTCAGCCTCTCGCATAGTGCGGACAACTGATATGTAATACCGGTGTCACACTGGCACATTTACTCGCGATCAGGGTTATCCGGATCAGTTCTTTTGATTGCGATCAACTTTATGACCGCTGCTACATGGCCCAAATTATTCCGGCTAAACCATTGGTGACATGAAATGCCCCATGTGACATTTGTGTGCCGTAAAATGTGCCACTGACAAAACTCGACGTACGGTATATCTAGAGAGCCCTTTATCGGCAATGTTATTCGTGCAATAACCGCTCAAACGTCAAAAACTTTGCATGCCACTACGATAGTAATTTCATAAATCTATCACTCGATAAAATTTTCCTAGCACTTACCGGTACTTTGTGAGATTCTTAATATTCACTTTTATTTCTGATGGCCCCCACTCGTAGCCGTGAAGTCACAGCGAAGCGCGAATCTCGTTGTACACGCCAGTGCTTCACTTCCGGCGCCTCAAGTCTGTTCTAGTCGCTCCTGCTAGCGGTAAACTATTGTAAAGATCTCTTCATTCGACCACGGAGTGCGCGTACGTTGTGACGTATTCGAAAGACTTGCGACACTCATAATCAGTTTGCTTCGAGGTGCTCCAACAGCTCCGACGGAGGGAGAGTAAAACTAAGCGCTGAAGGCAACGGTCAACTGCTTGTCATCTGCTTGCCGTCTGATTCTCCCGTAACTACATGTGGCCGATGCGAATCCTAAAATATGCAATACTTTAGATATTGTTTCAAGTTAGACTGTTTACTATTTGATTTTTTGATAAACATCTAGCTGTTTTAAAGCGTTTTTATTGAACTATGCTCAATTTTCTTGTTTATTGTGCTTTCAACAAGCTCAGCTAGGGGGTGCAGAAAGCAGTGAATTCGTGATCTCTGAGGTAGATCGTGATGCGCGGATTGGGATAGTCTTGATCCCAATCACGCCTGATCGTGATTAAAAGTGACCGTGTAGCAGCACGAAATCTGGATCGTTGTTAATCCGGATCGACACTGATCGCGATTAAATGTGCCCATGTGACACCGGTATAAGACAAAGCATGCTCATTCGCAGACAGGAGCATTATTTCTTTCAGCTGCCAAAACATGAGCACACCTATATATTGGAAAGTTATTTCTTTTTGTGAAGATGGTATAAAACACGTGATGGTTATTCTCATTTTTCTTTAAGTTTGCCATTGCACCGAGAAAATAGCGTACTTTTGTTCTGCATATAAACAACACGTTCCCTTTCTGGCTGCGCCTGTCACGCTGATTAGTCATTTTCAGCTAGCAATCTAGGGAAATTAAAGCTTCTTCACGTGGAGGAATCAGGAAAGGAGCAATTCGGAAGCTGTATAGCCATAACGCTAATACTATAGAGGTCACAGGGTAGCCAGCCGGTCTGAGAACTGGCTAACCTCCCTGTCCTTTCTCATTTATTCCTCCTCTATAGAGGTCACTGCTAGTACTATAGAGGTCAAACTAGTACTATAGACTGCTGCAAAACTGTGGCTTCAAAGGTGGTTCTCCGAGGATGATAAAGGCCATCATGTGAAGATACGTCCTGTGTGGTTTACGATGAACAGTGTTACCGCAATAGCAATATAAAACAATCTACGAGTCTGAAATTCTTTCCAATGCGTGCAATAACATCGTTATGGATTCCACAGCATTCTTTATTTGGCAGACGCATTCAGAAAGTCAGATGCACCGATCTGACTGGTCAAACACATACAAATACCACAGTCCTGAAATTAAGGTAATAAATGCTTGTGCATGTGTCAGAAGCTTGAATATGACAACAATTATCAAGTTTCACCAAGAATTGAGTTTTCCGTGATTGGCCCACAAAAACCTATTCTTTTTACGTTAATTACTTAGCATACAGCCAAGCCTAAGGTTTCTTGTGATTGGTTTAATTAGCGTTAAGATGAGCAATACGTTTCCTGAGCATCCCCGTTGTAGCATTCACTGCGCCAGCCCCTTATCTTCACAAATTCATGGCTTCGCAATATTGCGTTGATACTTATTAACTCTTGTTTAGAATAAGGCTAAGTGTCACATGAACACAAGTACAACATCCGGACTTCAGCTGCCCGTATCAGAACTTCCAAATCGAAGAGGTACATATTGTACCTGATTTATTCCTCGGGTTACCGTTTAATGTTTCTACAACAATTCTAATAGGCCACCACAGTATATTGAGAAACTTAAGAGAATTGATTTAGCGTTACAGTGACTTCCTTCACAATGTTAGCTTATTTAGTTCACGAAGGAGCACCTTATGAGTTCACCCACAGTGTCACCATATTAATTACCTACTTAGTTGCGGCTACACAGATTTTGTTGTTATTTGGAATGCAAGAATAATTGAACAAATGTTCGAAGGTATGGCTGCGTTGCAAGTTTCCGCCGTAGACAACGTAAGTTAAACTCACCGACGACATGAAGACGCACCGTCGAGTTTCTTCGGGCACCGTCACGGAACACGGCTGTGCACGTGTACAGACCGGCGTCCTCGAAGCGTACGCTGTTCACCTTGAGACTGGCCGGGTGGCCGATAATGGAGAAATAGGCCCGCCCCACCCAGCCATGCCCAGCTGAACGGTTGACCTGCAAGAACACATGCATATACAAAAAGCGTTGATGCAGGTGCCGCATAAGATATTTTTCCAACTAGCCCGCCACAGCGTCCTAGCAGCCAAAATGTCTCCAAAGCATGCAAAAAAGGACCTCAGCCCGTCGTATTTTCGATTCGCACACGGGCATGCCTTCAAATATGAAGTAATTAGCCGAAAGACATTGCATAAAGTCAGCGGCGTTAACATTTTTTGCGGGAGGGGGGGGGACCTCTTAGATTTGAGGGGAGGGGGGCACATGTCAGATGTCGCCACCCTGTCAGATGTGGCCAACAGTACAGTATGGAGCACAAGACGGGCATTTTCTGAACTTTCGTCGGGACCAGCTACAAAATTTGACAAGAACATTCAGCCAACTTAAGCCATTGTGGTCATCAAAGTTCAGCAATATAATGTGCAAAGTTGGTAGGCAGTGCATGTGTTAGTGGGAAAAGCTCTTCTGATAGATCAAAAGAGTCATCAAAAGAGCTAATAATTTGGCCCAGCCACCTTGCATTTGTTTTCTACTATCAATTTTCTGGGTTTATTACAGCTAGAATTTTCGAGGAAAGAAAAATTGTTCCTGTAATACTATAATGGTGGGTAATTTATCAAGGACGTAAAATTACATTCCATAACTGCAATATTGTACGTACGAATGAACAAACGCATCGATCGAATCACTATTATACTTTTAAAACAACCCGCACAACATCTGAATATAGAAAAAAAAACATCCCATATTATAAACTGAAATAGTACCTTCTGAACATAAAAATTATTACGCTTAACTTCAAACAATGATATCCAAGTTAGTTCTTATACATAGTAAAAATACTGATGAATAGATATAAACGAATAACTTTGTCAACAAACAAGAATGTATAAGTAGCACTTGAAATGTGGTAACTCTACTATATTCCTTAGGGTATAGTGTAGGCTGTTACTTTTCTGCATGGGACCTAAAATTCAGGAATATAGATCAACATAAATTGTACGACCATACGCGCACCTGAATGACACAAGTTTTCCTCTAATAGCCATAAACGTTTCGTTCACGCTTATTGGTGGATATATATCTCCGTCATCGCGATTTGACTGCGACAGATTAAAAGACATCCTGATGAGGACCGATGGGCCTTGGATCATCACCGGTGACTTCAACGCCCATCACATGCTTTGGGGGAGCACTAGGATGAATGCCAGGGGCCGGAACATTGTTACATTCGCTTCCGATTACGACCTTTCCATCATGAACGATGGTACCCCCACATATCTGTGGGGTCTCACGTATGGCAGTTGCCTTGACCTGACATTGGTGTCACGATGCTTCTCTCACAAAGTTAAGTGGTTTTGCGATATTGAGACTCATGGGAGTGATCACGTACCCACCTACGTGACTATCGATGGTATCATAAAAAATTTCTCTTCCGGTGTTGCAATTGGCACTGACTGGTCGATGTTCACATCGCGTGTTGAGAACGCTTGCCAAGAAGGCCTCGCCTGCAGCCTGAAAAATACCATAGCGGAAGCTATGCAAGCGTCCAAATGAAAATTACCATTTTCGTCAAAAATTAACACAGTTTGATATCGAACTGTAAAAATTACGAGCTATACGAAGGCGTGCTGAACGACGATACAGACGCAAAAGATCAATTTACGATCTGAGGGAAGCAAGGCGGCTCCAGAAAAAGATTCAACGACGCATTTACAAGCTGGAGAGCGAACGCTGGAAAGCATTCTGCAAATCTCTAGACCCTCATGAGCTGCTGTCTTATATCTGGAGAACAGTTCGTGGTCTTCGCTCCTCTCCGCAACAACGGCACCCTTTTAAAGCTTTGGCACTCCATCATGAAAAAACAGAACTCGAGGTGGCTGAAGAATTTTGCAAGAGAGTTGCCGGGAATATTATGAACGAGAGCATTGACGCCGTGATCGTTCCTGAGACGCGATTATCGGAAATGGACATTTCATTCACCATGGAAGAACTGGAAGGTGCGTTAGTCACTTCTAAGCGCATGTCATCGCCAGGTCCAGATGGTATTACTTAAAGTGCGTTGGGACACCTTGGACAAAAAGCCAGAAAGGAACTTTTAACATGCTTCAACAACTCCTGGCTCAGCGGCAGTGTTCCCCGAGAATTGAAAATAAGTCGATTAATACCACTTTTGAAATCGGGAAAATCACCATTGGACTTGACAGCGTATCGCCCTATTGCCCTCGCAAGCTGCCTCGGAAAAGTGATGGAAAGAATGGTTCTATTTCGTCTCGAGTGGTACTTGGAACGATACACCAAATACCCTTCTTGCACGGCAGGCTTTCGTCGGGGCCGCTCCTCCATTGACTGTGTCCTTGACTTATCGACATTTGTTCAACAAGAAAAAAGTCGCAAGCGCATATCAGTGGCACTCTTTCTTGACGTGAAGGGTGCATATGATAATGTAGCTCACGATGCCATCCTCACTTCTCTCGCAGCAATGGGCATTGGTGGACAAATGTTTCAATGAATAAAAGATTATATAACTGGCAGGGGTTTCTTTGTACAAACATATGAGGGTACAACTGCTCAACATTACACCTACTGTGGAGTACCTCAGGGAGGTGTTTCAAGCCCCACATTGTTCAATGTTGCCCTCATTGGTCTGGTGAAGGTTCTGCCAAAGTCGGTGTGCCTATCCATATACGCTGATGATATTTGCCTCTGGAGTGCTGCAGTTACTCGCCCTCAGGTGCGTGCACGAATACAGCGGGCAGCAAACCTCACAACAGCCTACCTTCAGAAACAAGGCATAAATATATCAACTGTGAAGTGCGCGTTGATGGCGTTTACACGCCAACCAATGACGCCATACCCTGTTTACATCAATGGGCAGAGTGTCAAATATGCACGGACGCATCGTTTCCTGGGCATAATAATCGACAGAAGTCTTTTGTGGAGCCCGCATTGTGCGTACTTGAAGAAGAGACTGCTATTTAATATGCATATAATGAAATTCTTGTGCGGGAAAGCAAGGGGAACTTCCGTGGCCTCTATGCTACAGCTGTACAGGGCCCTATTTCTGGGTCTATTGCGCTACAGCTTGCCGGTACTGACTAACACTTGCAAATCGAATACTCATTCATTGAAGAGTTTGCAGGGTCAGGCACTGCGTATCTGCCTAGGACTGCCCCGATGCGCTTCTACTTATGCCACAATCATGCTTGCCAAAGACCATCCGGTCAGGACATATAGAGTTTTGGATTGCCTCAGAGCACACATTCGACATGATAGCCGTGTCCCCGACCACCACTTGGCCCTTCTACCTTCCGGAAGACCACGTGCTACGTTTTCAGACGTCATAGCCAAGCACCTAAACAGCATTCCATCAGGATATACGCCAGCTGTGAGAATGGCATGTCCTTTGTGGTGCCTCGACCAGCCGCAAGTACATCTAGAAATTCCGGGAATCAAAAAGAAAAGCAATCACTCCAGAGTAGCATTGAAGCAAGCAACACTGCTATTATTACATGAGTTGTACTTAGACCGAACGCAGATATACAGTGATGGGTCCGTCTCGTCCAGCAGGTGCCGCTGTAATTCCGGCTGCAGCAATGACAATCAAGTTTAAGTTGTCGCATATGACTACAACTACGGCATCAGAGCTTGCTGCTATAAGGGCTGCTTTACAATATCTCGTTCAAGAACGTCCAGGAAAAAGGGTCATATTATGCGATTTGAAGGCAGCGCTTCAGAGTTTGCAGTCTGCCATGCGTAGGAGGAGTCATGACCAATTGCTACAAGAAATAAAACATTGCCATCATGAAGCTCTAGCAGGAGGGCATGATATTATATATCAATGGCTGCCTGGACATATCGGTATTACCGGAAATCAATTAGCCGATGATGCTGTCCGCTCAGCCCTAGAAGAAACCCGTGTAGTCCCGATTCCTCTATCAAGGAATGATGCAGCAAGACAACTTTACCTGCTGGCTCGCGATCTCACACGCACGTTCTGGTCGTCTACCAGCTTCCCAAGGTGTCAATTTTATGAACTGGATCCTTCGCTCAAGCTAAAGCTGCCATCACAACTTTCCCGCTCCGATGCGACACTGTTATGCCGCCTTTGGTTGGGTGTTGCATTTACAAAGGTGTACTTATTTCGCATTGGTATGGCAGACCCTCCTACATGCGACTACTGTGGTTGCTGAAGAGACCATCGAACACGTCCTGTGCAGCTGCGCTTGTTACGACACACAGCGATGCCAGCTCCGGATGGTTTTGAATCACCTTGACCCTGGACCATTTTGTGTGCAGAAGATACTAGGACCTTGGGCATCTTCCTCACTTGCGCAGAAAGCAACTAAAGCACTGCTACTTTACCTAAAGTCAACAAACCTGAGCGACCGCCTATAGACTGTGTGTGCTCTCCGAGTGTGCTCGTGATTGTGTGTACCTTCTCATCTTTCTGCAACCTCTTTTCTCCCCTTTATCCCTTCCCCAGTGCAGGGTAGCAAACCGGATGTGCGTTTGATTAACCTCCCTGCCTTTCCTTGCATCTTTATCTCTCTCTCTCTCCAAAATGAGCGATAACGTTTCCTGAGCATCTCTGTAGTAGCATTCACTGCGCTAGCCCCTTATCTTCACAAATTCGTGGCTTCGTAATATTATGTTGATACGTCGATAATTACTCGTGTTTAGAGCTAATCGTCACATGAACACAAGTAAACCTTCCTGACTTCAGCGGCCAGTATCAGAACTTTCATTTCAAAGAAGTACATATTGTACCACATTAATTCTTCAGGCTACCGTATAATATTTTCACAACAATTCTAATAGGCCACCACAGTATATTGAGAAAGTTAAGACAATTTATTTCGCGTTACAATGACTTCCTTCACAATATTACTTATTTGGTTCACAAAGGAGCGCCTTATGAGTTCACCCACATTGTAACCAAATAATTACCTACTTTGTTGCGGCTACACAGATTTTGTTGTTACTTGGAATGCAAGATTTATTGAACAAACGTTCGAAGGCATCCCTGCGTTGCAATTTTCCGCAGTAAACAACGTAAGGTAAACTCACCGACGACATGAAGACGCACCGTCGAGTTTCTTCGGGCACCGTCACGGAACACGGCTGTGCACGTGTACAGACCAGCGTCCTCGAAGCGTACGCTGTTCACCTTGAGACTGGCCGGGTGGCCGATAATGGAAAAATAGGCCCGCCCCACCCAGCCATGCCCAGCTGAACGGTTGCACCTGCAAGAAGCACATGCATATACAAAACAGCGTTGATGCAGGTGCCGCATAAGATATTTCTCCAGCTAGCCCGCCACAGCGTCCTAGCAGCCAAAATGTCTCCAAAGCATGCAAAAAAGGAACCTCAGCCCGTCGTATTCTCGATACGCACATGGGCACGCCTTCAAATATTAAAATAATTAGCCGAAAGACATTGCATAAAGCCAGCGGCGTAAGTATTTTTGCGGGGGAATGGCACCTCATAGATATGAAGGGGGGAAGGCACATGTCAGATCTAGCCACCCTCTAGCTATGCTACTGTATGGAGCACATAACGGGCTTTTTCTGAACTTCGTCGGGACCAGCCACAAATTTTGACTAAGAACAGTTAGCTAACTTAAGCCATTCTGGTCATCAAAGTTCAGCAATATAACGTGCAAAGTTGGTAGGCATTGCTTGTGTTAGTGGGAAAAGCTCTTCCTAATGATGAAAAGAGGCATCAAAAGAGCTATTTATTCGGGTCCAGCCTACCTTGCATTTGTTTTTCTACTATTATCTTTCTGGGTTTATTACAGCTAGAATTTTCGGGAAAGAAAAATTGTTCCTATATACTATAATGGTGGGTAATTTATGAAGGACGTCAAATTACATTCCGTAACTGAATAAATGTACGTACGAATGAACAAACGCATCGATCGAATCACTATTATACTTTTAAAACAACCTGCACAACATCTGAATATAGAAAAAAAACATCCCATATTTTAAACTGAAATAGTACCTTCTGAACATAAAAATTATTACGCTTTACTTCAAACAATGATATCCGAGTTAGTTCCTATACATAGTTAAAAATACTGAGGTATAGATATAAACGAATAACTTTGTCAACAAACAAGAATGTATCAGTAGCAATTCAAATGGTTTAATTCGTTACTATATTCCTTATGGTAGTGTAGGCTGTTTCTTTTTCTGCATGGAACTTCAAACTCAGGGATATAGATCAACATAAATTGTACGACCATACGCGCCCCTGAATGACACACGTTTTCCTCTAATAGCCATAAACGGTGCCTACCTGTAACAAGTTGTTCCCTCGTGCTCCCGCGGAGCTCGTAGCGCCGGAAGCCATAGTGCCACCACCCACGGTTCCACTAGAGGTGGCCTCCTTGCTGACAGTCGGGTCCGGCCCGAAGTCCACTGTGTATATGGGTTCGCGGCTTGCTGCTGCCGCACGGAAACCATAGCCTAGAGAGGGTCCCGCGCCACCGGAACCGTGAGACTCTCGTTCAGCCGTGTGGTACCAGTGCACGAAGGCCAGGGAGTCGTTGGAGAGTGCGTCCCTCAGGTCGCACGGGAGCTCCGTCTGATGGCCCTCGCGGACGATGAGACGCTTGGAAGTACCTGCGAAACGAGTGTTCGAGGGAAAGGTATAGACTTGGCAGCATAGTATTTTTGCGTAGGCACGAAAATACACAATACTCCTGTGAAAAGTTCACTGTAATGTCCGCTAGTTGTTGTGTCATTGAAATTATCGCAAGAACACGTCGCATGGCACCAAACTAACCTACTATAATAAGGCTTCATTTACTGCGTGGAGGAATACAAAAGATAGAATAAAAACACGTTGATTTTCGGCAATTATAACGAAACATTCAACCCTGTCCGCCGCGACCGTCTTGAGTCCATGTACACACACACCGAATAAGCACGGCTCACGTTTGGTACATCGTTTTCTCTCGTCTTTAAGGCGGTGTGCACTATAGTTGCTTCAAGTTTTCTCAGAAGTTGATCCTTATTTTTGTATGAAGCAGGGCGCAGAACACGTGTGTTTTCAGCTTCAGCCAATACGCTTAAATAAGACCCTCCACAGCTTTTCACGGTCCACGTGAACTAGTGGTTCGAATTGGGTGTTCCTTTCTCAACCCCATACGCATCTGAACGAAAGAAACAAGAAACGGATCATGTGGAAGCTAGTTTTTTGATTAACTACAACTACGTGATGTTTCATGAACTCTTTGCCATGCTGCTTATGTTCTGGCCTGTGGCCAGTAGCCATGCGAAAATGCGTTGTAGTTGGGCGCATTCACATGCGTAGGAGAACAAGATGGAAGCGACCATCCGGTATTCTTCGAAATAAGAACGTGGCAGCTACAAATGAGAATTTATTGCCCAGACCGGCGGGCTTCTGCACTTCTTCGAACGAGGATTCTCGTTGTGTAATCTTGACCATACTGTTCTTGGGGCGAGGTTGCTAGCATTGTGCCTTCCTCGCAAGCGCCGAAAATCGCAGAGCCCACCAGACGTGACTAATTCATGCATGAATACCCTAGGCTCTCACGGTTGCTCGTAAGACGTCTCGAGACTTTTTACCGCAAAAAAAGGTTCGCAAGTTCTTTCGCTTATTTTTTTTAGTTAGGCAACTTTATTTTGGCTTTGTTCGCTGACTGAGCTCTCAGCTCTTGCTTTCACATAGGCCTGTCTGCCTTGCCAATGTTTTTCGGTTAATAGCCACAGAGTCTTTTTCGGACGTATTTTCTACCAGTTTCCATTTTCTCTCTTGATGTCTTTGATACGCTGTTCAGAATTCTTCCCCTCTGGGTTAATTAGGTTCCGGCGTACAGAACGTGCTTGTTTTCGCTGGTTCGAGCTTTTTCACTGTTCCTTAAAGTTCTAACTAGTTCCTAGTACTTAACCTACTAGGTCAGCACGACAGCGGAAGGAAAAACGATCTTTGTTTATGTACACTCTTAGTCTTCCTGCGTTTTTTTTTTGTCTGTGAACGTTTTCAGTGGGTTATGTTTCGCGTTAACTCTGCTATACCATCTATGTCTGCCGAACATTTTCCTGCTGGCTGTAAAAAGTGATGTAATCTTATTAGATATTCACTAGTATAGACATGGAGGCGGGAACGGGTGGCTTGACTGAAATTATATCCCTCAATGACTGGTGTCATCTACGCAGTATGTTATGACAATCTGCATTTACGTAGAGTTGAATCTATGGTGCTCGCGCTATAACTTGTGCAGTCGCTATTCGGGTCATCTCAATTACCGATGCTGCTTTGTCGGCCTGCTGGAGCTAGATAATCTACTGAACTGTTGCAATGTATTTCGCAATCGCCGCTGCACTTGACAAGTTCATGAATAACTTCTCACAACCCTCTCACCTCTAAATGATCTGTTTGGGGGTGAGAAGATCGATGCCCTTCCTGGTAGTTCCGGCATTATATAGAGGTGGAACATCAACACTGGTGCGTTGAGGCAGATATCTTTGAATGCACTCGAGTATGAATGTGAGGACGTTATTAGGCTCATAGCAGTGTTTGAGATGACTATATGGCACCGCTTCTCGGCAAGAAAAGGTGGAGCTCACTCAGATCGACTCAAGAAATATATTTTGTGTTCAGGGCTCACGCAGACACAGATTGACCAAAAATGCCTTCAAGTGGGCTACTAGCCACTGAGGCCACACTCCATAGGCTTGCGGCTATCGCAATGTTACAAATGTGTAGTATGCGGCTTCCTTACAGTACTTCACTACGCATACAGTAACATCCGATTGCGTAGTAAACGGCAAGGCGAAGTGACGAGACTAAAGCATGCGCAGGAAGAAGCACAATGAGCTGCATAGAAGAGATGAATTTGTAATGGTTGCTACACTACACAGCTTGTTTTGACCGTGAACCAGCAGAATAACAACTCCCAATGACCCCAACCCTGAACGCAAACCTGGTTCCTAAAGGAGACGACTGAATTTCCCAGTTCTCAGGTCAAACAGTATCTCCACAAAATGGTGGCGATGCTATTTTGTTCTTATCTGACCTCTTTCCCGACGTGCTTATGGGCTTCTCGATAAGTGAAAAAGTGAAAATGAGGTCTTGACTCGCAAATTAACTTTTGCGCACCTTGGAACATCATTTGTTTCAGTTGATGTTCTGTCAAGATAGCAATCGTCTCCATTATATGTCGTTTTATTTTTTACTTCTACCAAAACCTAACGATGAAAAACTTGGTTTTCTTCACAGAGTTCTTCAAATTCTGAAATGAAGACAGAAAATGCCCCCGTGAAATATTCAAGATGTGCTTACAAAGCTACAAAAAATATTTTTGCTGAAACCGCGCTGATACTGTTTATTAAGGGAGTTGGTATAATTTCTTCTGCCATTCGGAGTATTCTGGCCAAACTTCTTTCCATGAATATTAATATAGCGAAGCATTTCTTTGCGTACCGTGGCCACTTTGAGCATCACTCTATCTATCTATCTATCTATCTATCTATCTATCTATCTATCTATCTATCTATCTATCTATCTATCTATCTATCTATCTATCTATCTATCTATCTATCTATCTATCTATCTATCTATCTATCTATCTATCTATCTATCTATCTATCTATCTATCTATCTATCTATCTATCTATCTATTCAGCCGACTAGGTCTGGGTGCTTTCGTGATCACCCCCTTTACTTTAGGTAAGTAAACTTAGTATGGGAAGATGATGAATGTTACTCACAGGTGATGACAAATCACGCTAGTGATAATCTCGTCGCGTATGTCTTTAAACCCTCTTCACAAGACCTATGGCACATACCTGCAGGAGGGTATGTGCCACAAGTATACAAGTATGCCCCACTGGTGATTGGTAGTTTATATTTACCCAGTAACGGTGAGATAAGGCATGGCTAATTTTAAAATGCGAGCGCAAACAAAAATTTTAACATGCGATGGATGCTAACAATAAATGTCGGGACCCCAGCAGTAACCAAACCCTAAAATTCTGCATGGCAAGCAGTATCCTACTACAGAGCTACGCCAGGTTTCAGAACTACTTTTCATTTAGACCCTAGCATTCGTGAAACTTCAACTTTAATGGCAGTCTTGACTACCCAATTTTCTAAACACTACATATATGTACGCCTATTATACACTCATCACGTTGTGTTAACGTTAACTAGGGTTGGGCGCCATCCGCTTAAGTTTATTCATGTAGCAGTGTCCAAGGCTATACTCGTGAACACCAGTGCTTTATATCAACATACCGCTTCTGTGTTTGTATTTATGTTTCCATTGGCATCGTTACGGCCCTCTAAACAACTGGGTATACGAAAAATGTATGCACGTGTTCAACGTTTATCTGCGAGTGTATTTTTTCATATCGTCACTGCCGCTTCGTAACGTGTCGCGAAATGAAAAATAACAAGACAGCCATATTTCATCCACGAACTTCACATAAAATCAATTCCCATGGTAGGAGAATTCTGTCAAATTTTAATTACCAAATTTATTCACCACATACTTGTTTACCTAGACATATACACGGGAGTGATTTTATTTGGAGACCTAACATACGTGATTTTTGTTAATAAATTAGGATATTATGTAGGACTCACTGCGCAGCATCTCAAAAATATTCTAATGCTAAACTGTTCTCAGTGCGAACAATCATTCCTAAAACTTGAAACAACTAAATCTCAAAAGGGCGTTTTGACGGAACGAATAGCCACGATGACAAGAAATATTGAGGGTGCCAGATATGGCGGGATCTTTGTCATCCACGTCCACTGCTGATACAGTAGTTTGCTGATTGCTCGGAGAGCTGCTGCTGACAAGGTCTCACCCAGTTCGCGTATTTCTGCTGCAGAGGAGCTGTTAAGCCAGCTGTTGGCCGTGTATTGTATACAGAATATTATCACCTACATGAGCCTTCACAAGCTTTCCTCATCCGCTTCTTCATCGGCGTCCTTTGATGGGTGAGGGGGGGCGACTGCATAGATCTTGTTCTCTCTTTGTCTCTCTTTATATATATATATATATATATATATATATATATATATATATATATATATATAGGCGTGTGTGTGCGCGCGTGTGTGTGTGTGTGTGTGTGTGTGTGTGACTGTTTATAGCAGGTTTCCACAGCCCTAGTATTTATAATTCCTTAGTAAACTGCGATTTGCTCGTGACAGGCACAGCTGAGGCGACGAATTACAACCGATGATTACTGAACTGGCCGCAGAAAGCTGCTGAGTCTGTCTCACAGCTAATATACAAAAGACTAAAATGATGCGCACAGTCACGGCGGAAACAGTCCCTTGTGATATAAAGTGCAAAGACAAAAGCTCATTTTTCATCTTGACTTTCACGACAAAGTGCAATGTGCCCCATTCATTTTCATTTTTCAACTGACCCAACACGGTGTCTCCTAAAGCTGCGTCCAGACAGCTTGTCGAATGCCGACTGCGCCAGCTAAATTTTCGATGGAGGCGCAAATGCTGAAAGCCTGTTTGCTAAGATTCGGGTGCCCGCCAAAGAACCCCGGTTGTCTAAATTTTCAGAGCTCTCCACTACGGCGTCTGTCATAATCAAATGATTATTTTGGGACGCTAAGCCACCCGTATCAATCATTCAAATATACAGGTTGCGGAACACCCTGTGAATGGAACTATGAACCAATATTGCTGTACAATACGTGTCTATTTTATCTCTACGTCGGTAAGTTGAAAACACGTCTGTTTTCAGAAATACTTTAAAACAGTTAACTCCAAGAACACAAACAACAAAGTAGCTGGCTCTGCTCGCCTCACTAAATGTAGGTCGTGCAAAGTTCCCAACACTATGTCAATTTCGTAATGTCAAAATGTAGTTGGTAGCGTCCCCTGTGAAAAGTCATATCAAATTATTAGCAAACATTGTGGCGTGTAAATGCTTGTTCTACTGTAACTAGCTTGAAATCTCAAGTCTGTGTGGGCAGTAAGTAGAGAGACTCGCAAATGCTGGATGAGTGGCATTTATTGCGCTTTTTTGAAGCATCCTGGAGAAAATTATTACACAGACACTTGTATTGCACTCACCACGCATTAAGACATCGGAATTTTCTGTGAAGCAGGAAAGCACCCACTATGCCATTAATCCTTATTCGGTGAAAAAGTCCGCTTCCCGCTAAACATCTGAAAGATATTACGTTCACTTTGCTGTTGCGGTGACTAACGACAATGAAGCCTTATGAATCAGGTTTTGTAATAGTTTGAAAGATTTTAATGATCCACTAGTTTTAGAGTTGCCATGGTGTGGCACCTGGTCCTTATTTTGCTGTCCCTATTTTACTAAACCGGCTGTATTAAGTGATACTTTTTGTGACGTCAAACCTGCTAGAGTCAGTTTACAAAGACGTTTGAAGTACCGGCGTGGGTCGTCGGTACGATTCTCGGCGCCCATGCACAGGGTTCTG